AGTATTTGGTGCTTTTTATCTCCAGTCTTTCATTGATACTGTGAGGCAGCACCACGCTCCTTATGAGGAGGGAGAAGTGGGTATAAAAGGAGTCACTTTGGTCCAAGGTGTAAGAGCTGAGGTGCTCTTGGGCTTGCGGTTGGGTCACTGAACTTCATACCTGACAGCAAGCAAGAGGCACGGTCAGAGCATTAGAGCCCTCTCTCAGAAGATTGCCTAGTTTGCTTTTTTGTGTGTGTGATCCTGCTTTAAAGTTGCAGGAATGTGGCAGCACAGCACTGGCGCTCTGATTTGTTAATTCCATCTCATCCCACCAGCCCATGAAACAAAAGCATCTGTGTTTGTTCACGAGGAGCACATGAAGGGCCTCATTCATGTCCGAGGTGGAGAGGGAAGCTGGCAGATCGAGGCAAGTCATCGGTGCCCCCTTCCTTTCCACCTTTGTGTGGGTTTGGGCTGGGAGAAGGGTGCTGGGAGGTGGAAGGCAGCAGGAGGGAGAAAGTGAAGGTCATCCTCACGGTCTCCATGGGCTGCTTGGCTGGGCCAAATGGTGACAGGAGGGGCCCAAGTAGCGCGCAAAGCCTCTCAGTGAGGCCTGCATCCCCACAGTGCAGGGAGGACTAGGCAGTTGGATCCATTGCTGCCACTTGGGCTTAGCCAGCATTAGTGGCAGCCTTCACACAGGCTCACCCTCATGAACAGCATTGCTGCTGCTGTGGTCACAGCTGGGCCTTTAGGGAGCCAAGTAGTCACTCCTGCAGGGAGCCCAGCACTGCTGCCTAATGCATGCTACAGATATAAGCAGAGAACAATACACTACATACAACAGCCATAGGAGAAATAGTCCCTTACCACTTTTTACAGCATGCTTTCATTATGAGGAAGGATCAGTGTGAGACAAATATTAACTGTCCTACTCTATGGGGCATTGAGGGGCAGAGGAACCAGCAACCTCTGCTTGTGCTGGGCCAGGATAGGCTGTGCCACTTCGAGTGAGAGGTGCCAGGGGAGATCTATCCTGCAGGGAGCACCTTGCTTAGACCACTTCTCTACCCCTGCCCTTATAGACAGCATCTTCTGGAGTCAGGCTGCAGCACTGCACTGAGAGCATTCCTGCAGGGCATGCAGGGTCTGCAAGCTACTGCCTGCTTCTTGGCTTTTCCACCAAGCCCTCCCACACCAGGATTTCCTGGGAGCAATCCTGCTTTGCTAGCAAAACGTGGTTCCCATGCGCCTTGTACTCCCACACGCAAACCCATCGTGAACTTGCAGAAAGAAACAACGCTGTTGCCCTACTGCCATGTAACCAGAGCAGAGACTGTTTGACTGCTAACCCCATCCAAGTAATCCCAGTGCTCTGCTAGGCAAGACGCAGGCTGAATAGGGAATAAATGCCCACGTTTTCGTTGCCAAGGGGTAACATCCAAAGAACAGGACAACACAGTTTTCTTTTGTAATGCAGCATTACTCATAAACTGGCACTGCACAAAGTTGCCAGGCTGCTGGCAGCCTCTTAAAAGCAACAGCAGCAGCAGGGGAAGCGGCAGCGTGAGCACCGCTGGACCAGCTTACATCTCATCAGAACTTAACCTGAACCCGCTCCAGCTGATGAAAAACAAACCTACTGAGAGCTAAGTGTCAACATACAGGCAGGAAAACACATATTTTTTGCTTCTGCATAGAAATGAAAATAGGAAATGCTCTGGTAATCTTCACTCAAGCATGTCCATCTCCTCTCGTCCTTTGTCTCTCATTGATCAGTGTTGTCTGTTTCAGAAGGCACAAGAAATCCTATGCCAGACAACTGTAAGAGGTTGAAGCCTGAAGATTTAGATCTATTTCAAATGGACTGTCCTACCCGATAATGAATGATCTATTATCCATCAAAACGTCTCTTCCTGAATCCCATACCCAGCATCTGCAGCACTTTGCAGCAGCGAGTTCCGTATGTCACTATGCACTGCAAGGGAAAACATATTTACCACCAAAATGTTACCTTTTGCATTTTCCTGACTGCAATCCAGTTCCTTCAATAAAAAAAAAAAAAAAAAGTAATGTAGAAAAGACACATTCTTCCTGTTTGACAGAAACAACTGCTTTGTTTTTCACCCCAGCACCCCTCCTCATTTTCCTCCCTGAGCTAACTGGCCCCATCTTGAGGCATATCTCCGTGCACATAAGGCACTTGCAGGAATACGTGCCCAGAGCAGAGACAAATGGCAAGCAAAAGCTAGGGCTACGAATCCCAGCAATGTGTCACAGCCCTCGGAAATCATCCCTCACAGGTAAACTTTGTTCACATTTTATAAACTTGAGGAATTTGCAGAGTGCACTGCTTTTATCTTAGGGAGAAGGCTTTCAGCCCCCTGTGCTGCATGGTGGAGGAAGCCAGCAAGGCGGCCAATTGAACGCATAGGAACACAGACAAAGCAGATAAATGTGAGCTCTTAAGGGAAGACTTCTGGGAGCACTAATGTCACTTGAGAGGGAGCTGGAAGAGACTTCTCAGTGCTCTTAATTACGAGCCTGCACAGCTTAAAGCAGCGTGAAAGGATAAAGGAGCGAGTTCTTTATGAAGTCACCGACCACAGGTTGGAGAGCAATTTGGAGGCACATCGCAGCCTGGAGGGATGGGTTGGGACTGAGAAGAGGGTGATGTTAGCCAGAGGTCTCCTCTGCATGCCATATTTCATATTCTGTTACACCAGCAGCAGGTTTTAAACCGCAGTCCCGTTAGGCTGAGCTCTGCTTCTCAGAGAGGCAGCTGCTCCAATCCAATCTAACCTGGGGCTGTCTTGGCTCTGATGCTATCAGGTTGCTGTAAAGACGGGGTGGTCATACTGACAAGCAGTTCTGCATGTAGTCAAAGAAGTGCTCTCCATCACATGTGCAGAGCACCTGGAGGTCTCCAGATAGGGAGCTGTGGGGTAAGCCTAATGCTGATCACCAGAGAGACCAGAAGCACACAGGGCAGAGGGATGTGAGACTTTGCCAGGGCCCTGCAGTTGTGTTGGACCTGTTTTCCAGTCTGGTTTATTAGCACCTTGTTAGGTTTCCTCTTTTATAAGGAACAGTTAAGTATGAGGAGGAAGGGGACAAGTATCATCTTTCCTGCGTGCATACTGCAGAATAATGACAGAGCTTTCCCAGGGCAATTCTGCATGCTCAGTAAAGGGCATCTCTGGAGCCTATCAAATCCATCCTCCCTCACAGACACAGGAAGGCTTGCAGCTCTCTGTTCCTCCCCAGCAGGGATGTGCAGGGTAGTGACCTTCATCAGGGACCGTGTTGGAAAAGAGGAAAGGAAAGCAGCCTGGGGGAAGGCTGGAGTGAATACACTCCTAATAGGTACAGCTTTGCTCTCAGGCACTGAGGACAGACAGATTCTGGGCTGCCCAGAAGCAGAAGGTCTGCCTCCAGCATGGCACAGGCAAAGAAAAAGGGTGCTGGGTACATGGGAAGCACAGCCTCGAGCTGCCCAGTGCTGCCTCAGATGCTCTGCTGGGAAGATGCCACAGAACAGCACTGAGTGCTGGTCATAGAGATGTTCCCAGCTCACAAAAAGCATGTGAATTTAAGGGCTGTATGATATAGAAGTATTCTTTCTTGCATACATTTAGCTACACTACAGCTCTGTACAGCTCCCTAGGCAACAGTCATCCTAAACGACACTGTAACAAAATCCAAAGGTGCGGGAGCTTCACTCACTAAAAACCCTTCCCATGCGAGCAGGAGTCCTCAGTCCAGCTGCTTTGCTTTCTATCCCATGTCTTATGTTCCTTGCAAGTCAGGCTGAGGCCCTTCCCTGCAGCAGTGGCTGCGTCTCAACTGCACTCCCTGCCAGCTGCTTGGACCACTATGGAACTGCAAGGTTGCCTGAATGGTTTATCAATTATTACAATTATTATTACTACTACACTGTGCGTCCCTCCAGCTGATGGCTTCCAGGAAATGATGGAGCCAGTCCTGCAGAGAGCTGTCCTGGTTGCACGCTGTGCTGCAGGGCACAGTGGGAAGGGGCTGGGTAGCAGACAGCTGTGATGCAGGCTGCCACACACAGCCCCTGCCTGGCAACCTCTCTGCCACCCCAGCCTCACCCCCAGCACTCACAGCAACCCGTCTCACTGCAGAGCAATGGCAGCCTCCCTGCTGCTGGAATCCCATCCTGCTGCTTTGTGCAGCCACCTCCTAACTCCTTATGTGGTCCCCATTCCCAGCTTTGCCCAAGGCTCTCTCACAGGTACAGATGGCACCAACCTCACCTTTCATTTCTTTTCACCAGATGAGATTTGAAGCCCAACTCAGGCAGGTGACCAGAGTAGCCTGCACCCTGCTGTACTCCCTGCATAGATGCCCTGTGCATGGAGGCCTCCTCTGCACGCAGGATGCCAAAAGCACCTGCAGAGGCTGCATCATTTGCGCTCCACTACTTGCTGGTGGGGCTACGCGAGCTCCAAGTTGCAGCATGGCACTGATTGCCGGGCACTGCTGCTGTGCTAGAGATGCTCGTATTGACCTGCTGAGCCCCGCATCACTTATCCCGAATGTGAATGGGAACTGCCCATGCAGGCCAGTCAGAGGAGGTGCAAGGGACCAGCTTCTTCTCCTCACACCTGCTGGCTGAGGAGGGCTGCCTTTCCTCTCCCTGGAGCTGGAGCGACAGGAGGATGTGGGAATAAAGAGCCACTTTCCAACTCACCCAGCAGTACCCAATCCAACTCTACGCTCCTCATCCCCCGGCAGACACCTCTGCTATCCCGGCCCCAAATCCCGCTTGAAGGCTCGGCGGAAGGAAGCAGAGACTCTCTCCAGCCTCACCACCGCCGCCGGTGCCGGTACGCCGCTCGCTCCCATGGAGAATACCCCCGGTTCCTCCAGAGGATGCCCGAGGGAGGCGGGCGGCTGCGGAGACGCAACCCCTCGAAGGACCCCGACGCTCCCGGGACCGCAAGGTCACCCCCGCTCCCCGGCGCTGCCCGCAGCCCGCGTCGGGTGCTCACCTGGCGGTGGCGGCGGCGGGGCGGCAGCGCGGTACCGGGATGCCGCCGGCGAGCATCTCCCGCCGCCGGGCGAATGAGCCGCGTCTGTCCGTCCGCCCGTCCGTCTGTCCGTCCGTCCGTCCTGCCGCCGCGGCGGGCAGCGCGCCGGGACCGGCCCGACGGCGGCGGCGGCGGATCTGCCGGGGCCGCCCTCCGACGGCGGCGGCGACAGTAGCGGTGCGGTTACGCGCGGCGCGGAGCCGATTTAAGGCCACCCCGGCAGGGCGGGAGGGGCGGACGAGCGGGGCGGCCCGCCGGCGGCTGCAGCATCCCGCCGCGCCACCTTAAGCGCGGAGCGGGGGACAGGGAGAGCGCGGAGGGGGCGGCGAGAGCGGCGCCGCGCAGCGGGAGCGGAGGGAGTCGGCGGCGGGAGAGCCCCGAGCGGCCCCGCTGTGGCGGAGCGGGGCTGCCGGCCTCGGTTCGGGGCGGGCTGCCATAAGGAGGAGCCTCGGTGCGAGCTTTGCACCGGGCCCCGCGGCTCTGCCCTCTGTCCGGGTTCGGGGCTGCCGCAACCCCAGGGGGCTTCTGTCAAGATGCTGTGAGCGAAGGGCTTTGAGGCTTTTGCCCGGAAGGTGCTCCTTGAGCAGAACAGGAGGGCACCTGTGCTCGGGTGAGCTGACAGGGTTCTGCTAAGCTCCTGGAGCAGGTGCTGCCGAAAACACCTTGGGAAGGGAAGCAAGTGACATTTTGCAGTCCAAATGACATTTACAATGTGCGACACTGAGGTGAACCCCATCTCTGCTCGCAGCTCATCACCTCCGTGGCTGCCACAGCACATGGCCGCTCCTGCCTGCCCTGCATCCAGGGCTGCCCTCACACACGTCTGAAGGCCACCTGTGCCCCGCTGTGTGAAAACCGCACTTGAGCAATTCAGGCTCGGAGGAGTCCTGTGTGCTCAAGACTGCAATGCCTTGGGTTTAGGCAAACCCCTGAACAGACTGCTTTGTGTGGACACTGTGACTCTCAGGCCTCTTGGGAGAGGTGGATTCCGAAGGAGATTCGCCCCTGGGATCAAAAGGATGAGATGGGATCCCAAGGTCCTTCTGCCGCCTCCTGGCTGTGCACAGCCCTGCTGCCTGCATTCCTGGCTCCCCCTGACATGCTCTGCTATCCCAGGTCACCTCTTTCTCTCCATACCCACGCTGAAAGCACACCATGATGTGGATTTCAGCCCTCAGATGGGATGCTAGTGGTCTCACCTGCCGAGCTCTGTTCCTATTTATTTGGCCCGATCCTGTGCTCACAGAGCCTGTTGAGCTGCCTTGTGCCCTATCCCCAGGGATACTCATGCACCCACACAGAACCCCTTTTCTTCCCAGTCCTGTGAGCTCAGTGAAGCAAAGGCAGAAGGTAGGGAGGGATCAGCATGTCTCCCCAGCCCCAAAGCTGCAGTGCTACCTCTCTCCTCATTGTAAGCAGCCTCCCAGGGCACGTGCAGAACAAGCAGTACTCAATGCACAGCTCGCCAGCCTTTGAAGAGCCTGTGCTCCAGCAAAGCAGCCGGCAATTGCTGCCTTAAGAAAGCAGAAAAGCTGCTCTGCAAGCTCTGCAGTTTCATTTCTCTCCCCCTTGAAACACCAGAGCTGTAGTCTAATCAAGCTATTTCTGCGACAAGCCAGGGAGGAAAGAAAGGGAGATTGTTAGTGTTATTGCTATTTTTAAATACTTTGCTGGCTCTTGAATAGGATGATGATGGGGGCTGCTTAAGGACCCAGACAGAGACAGATTGATGTGTGCCGAATGCATCTGTCATGCTTCAGAAGGGAGGCAGCTCCTTTGGTAGCACAACTCCAAGGTGCAGCAAGGAACTGTGGCGAGGACGGTGGTAGATTGGGTTCTAAACTTGAAGGCACACAGTCAGCACTTGAAGGCAGCATCCCCTCTGAACCTGGGTGCTTTGGGTGGGAGTTCCATGTGCACCTGGAGGATGATGGACAATCCCGCATCCCATCCCTCTCAGAAAAGTTTTCCTAAAGGTAAACACCTATTTAGCTTTCAATCAATTTGTGAGCAGAGACTTGTATGCTGACTGTTGATTTCTGTAAGATAGCTTCAAAAAAAAAAAAAAAAAAAAAAAAAAGGCAGTCTCTACAGTCTCTATTAAAATGTCAGCCTTGAGAGTAGTCTTGATGATATTCTGTCAGTCTCATATCTGTTACATTCAATAAGGCTCTTCCACAGAAGTAAGCAACTGCTTTTATATAAGAAAATACCCTGCCTCTTAAGTGAGCTACCTACTGAAAGCACGCTTGATGCAGCCTTTGAAAGCGCTGCCTTGCAGCACCCATCTCACTGTGGACTCTTAACAGTGCACATGAATCACAAATCCAGAAGGATGCGAAGGGCCCTGCTTTCCACAACTGCCGTGCTGACAGCAATGTCAAGTCCTTCTTTCTCCAGCGACCGATCGTGACACATCCTTTGTCTGTATCCATGGGGAGGCGGAGGGAGGCCAGGGGTGGAGAACAGAGGCCGGTTGTCACCCAGCTCCTTGGCTATATGAGAAAGTGGCTTCTGTTTCTGAGCTCCTCTCTGCTCCGCGTCTTTCATCAACATCGAATTAAACAAGGCTTTCTTTTGTATGCTGGGAATGAATGGTCTGCATAAGGGTCAAATAGCACTGCCTGCAAAAGCTGAAACCTGTCTTTGCACAGCACTGGTTTGTCCTGGAGGCACACAGTCCCCATCAGTTGGATGTGCCCCAAAAGCAGGCTCCCTTCTGGCATCAGACACTTGGGGGCAGAGTCCAACATTCAGGAAGGAAAGGATGCACATTAAGGTTGGATTGAGATTCTCTTCATGGTTGGGTGGCGTCCAAATGTGGGTAACTGCTCCAGTTCTGATTTTTGGTCTTTAAATGAGAGGCAGCCCTAAATTCCTCGAGATTGTCCAAGCTAGTTAAGATATCTCACAAGTGCAGCAGAAGCTTTTGATCACCCTCTGCTAGAACAGTATCTGCCTCCTGCTGCAGGTTATGGGCATACAGAAAGATACACACCATTCCTTTCTGCTACTCATTTGGTTTTTAATTCACCCAGTCTGGTGTTTGTGGTAGTCCCTTCAGCTATGCCAACTTCTGATGCCAGAGCCTTGCTGTGTTGGATAGCAGAGTTTGGGCAGAGCCTTCCCCCCATTGGAGTTCTCAATCTGCAGTGAGAGCAGAATTTGTCACTGCAGATAAGTTGCTGGTGTTTAGCTTGCTTTGCAGCATGGTTTGCCTGAGCCCATGGATCTCTCCCTCAACAAGAACAATCTCCACCAGTCCAGTGAAGTCATACTTAGATTTCTGCTTTGATATTTTTTCTTCAGTGCATGTCACACATCACATTGCTTTCTGTAGATCTCCTGAGCACAGTTCAGGCCAAGCTGACTACAGCTGTGCTAAATGGCACTGAAAAAATGAAAAAATTAAATTGCATGCCAAAACATACTATTGCCATGTGAAATCATCAGTGAGTAAATGTGTGCCCATGGACAAAACCAGGACTTGAGTCAGATAACAGGATGCTAATCAAAGGTTCTGTAGTAGTATGAAGAAGTCTTTGTGATTGCTGTATTGTGCTACGCTAGCAACTGGAAGGGTCACTGTGCTGAGGTTTTTGCTCAAGGCATCTCAACCTTTAAGCTGTCACTTTTGAGTGCTTATAATACAGGGCCAGGTAGGTCATTTTTGCAATGTGAAACTCCCTTTTCAGCCTTAAAATAGAGCATTGCAAAGCGTTGCTGGGACAATGAGATGGGGAAATGTCAAAAAGGGGCTCAGAAAGCTTTTAGACTCCTGGGCAGTACTCTGCTTGCATTGTACTCGTGCCAATGGACTGCCTTTAAGATTAAGAAATCCCACTCAACTCGAAATGGATGGACAACCTCTCTGTGCAAAGAAATGAGATAAGATCCTGAGCAATTATATGGAATTCCCTTCCACTCTATCATCCTCCATCTGCTGACCTCATCTTTGCTCTGAAAGGGCCACTCTGTGTAGGCGACTCAAACAGCAAGTCAGTTGTTGGGCTTTCTTGGCTCTCAGCACCTCACCCACACAAATCCTGCCAATAGTAATTACTGTGATGCCTTCAGAGCTCCTTCCAGTGAGAAATACTGGGAGAGAAATGATGGGTGGGTGTAACGTGATATGTTGACACTGCACAAACCTCATATCCCCTCCTTCTTTTGGTCTCATCCATGATGAAAGGTCTCCTTGCTGTTTCTGTGCTTCCTGCATTACAGTCATAAATGTACAGATGCTCTGAGTCTGTGTCCATCCAGTGTGTGACAAGTGTGTGTCCCTATATCAGTGCTACACACCAAGTGAAGTTGGCATGAACTCTCCAAACAAGCCATGGTTCATCCTTCACCTGTCTTTATAGATGTAATATTGTCAGGCAGGACTAATCTTGTCAAGAGAGGATTTCTAAATGCCATTGACCTAAGGAGAACTGATAATAAAAGAAAGAGTGCAGATCTAGTTTTCTAAGACTTGAATATACTGGGAAGTTGATTGAAATAGCAGTGGAATAACAGTTAGTGCTCTAGCTATGTTGTTTTAACTCTCTCATGTGCATAATCTATTCTGGAATAAGAGTAATTACTCCAAAGTAAAGAGAATTGCTTTTATTCTAGAATAGCATTTCCCTGAGGGTGAAATACACTAAGCAGAGAATGAACTGATTTTTCTTGCCTCACCAAACTTTGGATGCAAAAAAAAAAAAATAATTGTTTTCTGATCCTCATCATAATGAAAATCAGATTCTTTTGCTGCTTTTCAGAGAAAATAAATCATAGAGGTCAGGAAGAGCTCCCTAGCAGCCTGCTGATCAGTGTTTGTTATGGATAGGGGATCCAAACTTGAGGTCTCTTGAATATCTATGATTCATGGACAGTTATTCACCTAGAAATCCTGCTCGGAGAGAAGTGTCCCGAAAGCTCTTTCCTGCTATAAATGCGTGTTCTTCTCATGTTGCCTTGTTGAAAAGTGCTTGTCCTTGAGACAAGTTTCATCTTTGATAAGATCAGTTGGTATTTTCCAATGAAACACTGGCTTGTTAAAAAATTC